GCGTTGTTGACTTTCAGAAGGGCGAGCGCCAGCTGAACATCGACTATGCTCTTTGTGAGGCGCTGAAGAACATGGGACTGAATGGTTTGGACGATATCATGATCATATATGACGTGATGTGTCAGTATCATGTTAATCTCTGGGACAGGATTGCTAACAATCCAAATCTTTCCATCTCTGAGAAGGCTAATTTGATCATGGGAATTGGTTTATTTCATGTCCATGGTCATCAGGATGAGTGCCTCTTCCGGTTGGCGACGTCATTTATTCCCGGAGCTGGAATGGTAGATGGGGAAATATTGGAAAGCCTTTGGGCGCAGCTCAATGATATCTCGAGGAGTACCCGCACGGCCACCCTCGCCCATCGGGCCGAGGTCTTGGACGACCATATGAATGACAGCAACTGGAATAAAATGGTCAACATTGTCTCCTCAGTCATTGCCAAGTACAGGAAGGCTGTCGTTGGTCTGGTGGACAGCAAAGACTACTTTGACCAACTGAATAGTTCGGCAGGCGAACACAACCACACATGGCAGGCAGAGATTCGTGCGGCTGAGAGCGATCGGGCGCAAGGAAATTTGAAGGCGATGGATATTATGGCGCCAAGAAATCCACCCAATTGTCCAGGTAAGCTCTTACTATGCAACTTTGGTGGAATTGGCTCTAGTCCGCCAAGAGTGTGGCGCCCAAATTGAAGGCGCCGTTCCAGGAAGAGTGGCGCACAAATTGAGGGCGCCGTTCCAGGATCCCTGGCGCTCATGGACGCCATGCCAGCACCCCTGGCGCTCATGCCATTTTACCTAGACTAACCAATACTACAGCCCCCCTCACCACCGCTCAAGTCCAATTAAAGCTGATGGACCAGGAGCGCCTTTCGATGGGCAGTACAGGTCAAACATCTTGGATTGCAACAGGACTCAAAATTGAGGAGACACAGTAAGACCCTGACAGAGCCAATGCATACGAGGAATGGCTTACATTAAAACAGGATTGAACTAAGGTTTCTCATTCGGCGTACTGGAAAAAAACCAACTATGCTGCAGAAAGTTGACATTGCTAAGAGGAGGGAAAGGTTAAGAGTGAGAATCGATGCTTTCAACAAGACGGGAATGACCTTTTTAGCATGGAACCCGGCATTAAATGAAAATCAGCTGTTGCTTCGTGAAGAGTTTGATATGGACGATGTTCTGCAGATGGACGATGATCTGGCCGAGTCAAATTTCAGTGGCAGCGCGCCTGATATCATGGTGGTCGCCGCCACAAAGGTTGCACAAGCCCAGGCAGCGGCGCTTGCTGCGGCTGAAGCTGTTGAACATGTGAAACTAGCCTTGCCGTCAGCCATGGGAGAAGAGCACCTTCAGGCTCATGGATTACAACATTTTTTGTCCAAAGAATATCAGTTGTGCCAAGGGCAAGCGAACGATGCTCTTCAAGGTGTCCGAGTGTCACTGGCGAATTTGTCTTTTGAATATGGAAGAAAGCTTCGAAAAATCAAAAAAAGTAAAGTCAAGAAAACAAGGGCATGGGCGACGGTGCACGCTGTTGGGCGAACGCTTCATCATCATCGCCAGATTTACTCTTATGCCATCGATGCCATTTCAAGATTGGGCGACCCAGAGAAGAAGATAGGGCGCCAGTATAAACCGCTCTTGAAGGAGGACATGAAGGCAAATACTGCGGTAGCAGACCCGAATGCGCGAGGGCAAAGTAGGGCAAAGCCAGCCTGGTTTTGGAGTTCCAACTTGGCAGGCGATATGCAGGACAACGAACAGATGGTAGAGTGTAAAGCATCCCTATACCCTCCTCAGTAGTAGATTATTGATTACCTTTCTAGTTCATCGCATCAATTGGCTTCGGGCCAGGGCCAGGTTTCACAGATGGAGAGAAGAATTCAACCTGTTGTCACATGAGATGGAATGGGG